CCTATGTTGCCGCCACCTGACCAGCACAGTCAACAGAGCAGCCAGATTCACTTAACAACCCTTGTTCCGGACTGAAGAACCGCAGCGATTTCGCTGAACACCGGTGGCAGAGAAGGTGATGAAAAAACGGGGCGCAACTCACTCTTCGCAACTGTCTTGTGTAGCCACGGAAATTTTGGGTCGGATTCTGGTCGTACGTGAAGGGCCATCTAATCCTGGAGAGAAGAGGTGATAAATTTGATAAGTTTGTCAGAGAAAGGAATATATTTCTCTTTCTGTATTTCTCTAGAACCTGGAACAAATGCAAAAACAGCTCCCAGCCGAGGTGGAGAAGTTTCTAAAGGCCAAATGTTTGGACGTACTCAGTTACTATCGTCCCGAGAGCGGTAAATTTGGGACAGTGGTGGGATTCAATTTAACAACCGGTTCTCTCCCCTAATGACCAGCTGGGTAGGCGTGGCTTGGTGGTCATGTGACTGGGTGGGCATGGCCAACTCAAGGTCACTCTGGTCGATGGGCGCTTTGCATAAGCTGTTACAATGTAATGAGGGTTAACCAGAGAGGCAGTTTCTGTAAGCAGGGTAATAAAGATTAAGCTAGAAACAACACCAGAATGTTTCCTTCCTGCCTTCCTTACAGGATTAGCCCTGTAAAGTGGGAAAAAAACAAAAGGAGATTTATTCCAACAATCAGTTCTCTGAACTGCTTAGAAAGTTACCAACCGGTTCTTCTGAATAGGTGCGAACTGGCTGAATCCCATCACTGCTCCAGGAGCAGTGGGGAGGCCATTTTCACCCTCCCAGAGGCTCGAGGAAAGCTTCCGGAGCTTGGGGAGTGCAAAAACACACACACACCGCCATAGTGCAGGAGGCCAATTAGGCCACGTCCACCCAGCAACTGGGCAGATAACCCCTTGCTAAAGTGTTTGATTCAGTGGCTTTGCTGAATACAGTAAGAAACCTGATGAAATTTGAAAGAACTTCATCCACTGGCTTCAAATATAGCATTTGATATTTTGTAAATGGAAGCATCCAGAGCCAATATCTTTATGGTTCAGGGTATTTTTTTAGTGCAATCCTCAACAATAGTTTTAGTTTCATTCATAACTACCTGGTTGCTACAACGACTGCCTGTTTCAGTAAGAGGGGGGCCAATCAAGTTGCAGCATATTTCCCAGGTCTGTTCGTGGTTTTACATTGTTCTCAGAAATAATAATTGGATAGCAAATGCACCACAATTTGTCACCCTCAAGCTGCTAGTCAAAATGGAAGTTAATAATAGCTTAGACTCATTGAGTAAATGAGTGCTTAGAAAAACTACCTCCACTAATTAAATTCCCTTGTATCCAAGGATAAATGCTTCTATTCTTAAAGAAGTATTTTTGGCCCTCTGAGTAATTCCTCCATTGTGTCATCTGAGGAAGAACCTCAACATTAGAAGTCTTCAGCATTTTACCCTAAGTTTGAATGGCCTTGTAGGTGTGGTGGGTTCCAGATCCCATTCCAACCAATACGGTTGGAACAGGTCTGGCAGCGTCCACACGCACACCGCGCGCATGCGTCTTAGCATCTCCGCAATGCTCCAGCTGCTCTGCAGAGCATCGTGTAGGTGCTGTACGCGCAATGCACTTGTGCGGAATCGCGGAAGCCTTAAAAGACAGGTAGGGAGCTTGGGTGGGTGGGTGGTATCCGGTGCTCCAGGCAGGCTCCGGTATGCCCATACCAGGTTGTACCGCCTGCAACCCACCACTGCCTTGGAGCAACCTTTCAACCATCTGGAGAGCCCACCTCCCACTCTAAAAACAATCAGTGAAGATAAGTATAAGTATAATCTTTATTGTCATTGTACTTAAATACAGGTAAATTGGTTGTAACCTCACTGGTGCAAAATAATAGCAGAAATGAAAAAAGAAAGAGAAAGGGGGAAAAAAACCTAATGTGTGCATGGAGTGATTGTGGTTGTATTTAAAAGTCTGACAGCCCAAGGATAGAAACTATCTTTAAACCTATTTGTTCGACTGGCTATGCTTCGATGTCTTCTGCCCGATAGTAGAAGTGCAAAGAGACACTGATACTTTTTTCCTTCCTTTTTTCTTTCTTTCTTTCTTTCTTTTCCTTCCTTCCTTCTTTACTTCCTTCCTTCTTCCTTTCTTTTCCTTCCTTCTTCCCTTCCTTCCTTCTTTTTCTTTCCTTCTTTCCTTTTTTCATTCATTCTTTCTTCCTTCCTTCCTTCTTTCTTACTTTTCCTTCCTTCCCTTCCTTCCTTCCTTTTCTTTCCTTCTTTCCTTCTTTCCTTTTCTCTTCCTTCCTTCCTTCCTTCCTTCTTTCTTTCTTGATGTCTTCTGCCCGATGGCGGAAGTGCAAAGAGACACTGATTCTTTCTTTCTTTCTTTCTTTCTTTCTTTCTTTCTTTCTTTCTTTCTTTCTTTCTTTCTTTTCCTTCCTTCTTCCCTTCCTTCCTTCTTTTTCTTTCCTTCTTTCTCTCTTTCCTTCTTTCCTTTTTTCTTCCTTCCTTCCTTCCTTCCTTCCTTCTTTCTTACTTTTCCTTCCTTCTTCCTTCCTTTCCTTCCTTCTTTTTCTTTCCTTCTTTCCTTCTTTCCTTTTTCTTCCTTCCTTCCTTCCTTCCTTCCTTCTTTCTTTCTTTTCCTTCCTTCCTTCCCTTCCTTCCTTTTTCTTTCCCTCTTTCCTTCTTTCCTTTTTCCTTCCTTCCTTCCTTCCTTCCTTCCTTCCTTCCTTCCTTCCTTCCT